TATATATATATATATATATATATATATATGTATATATATATATACATATATATATATATATATATATATATATATATATATATACATATCTCCCTATATATACATATATATATATATATATATATATATATATATATATATATATATATATATATATATATACATATATATATACACATATATATATATATATATATATATATATATATATACATACATAGATAGATATATATATATATATATATATATATATATATATATATATATATATATATATATATATATATATATAGATATATATATATATATATATATAGATATATATATATAGATATATATATATATATAGATATAGATAGACATAGATAGATATATATATAGAGATAGATATAGAGATATATAGATATATATATACATATATATATAGATATATATATATATAGATATACGACGACCGCCTCGTGCCCTGGGTCCACTTTGTGCCCTTTGACAACACGTACGTCGACCTCTACGGCATCATGGACTACTTTCTGCGCGGCCGCGACGCCGCCGCCGAGCGCATCGCCACCGACGGCAAGCGCTGGGCCGAGACGGTCCTGCGCCGCGAAGACATGCGTCTCTACGTCTGGCGGCTGCTGCTGGAGTATGCGCGTGTCATGGATGACAATCGCGATCGCCTGGCATTTGTGCAGGACTGGATTGATTAGACGACACGTCATGAAATGAAGAACAGCTAGACGAATAGATACCCGAGCTCTAATGGTAAAAATGCGATTATTTCCTTGCAGTGGCTGGTGCACTGATGTGGTTCTATCCAATCTATACAAAAACAGTTCTATGGGGGTAGCCGGGGATCGAAGATCAGAAGAAAAAAAAAACAAGAGGAACAAAACACGCTGTGCACTCATACGAGTGTGATGGCTATTGGACAGTGCAGCAAGCCAAATGTCCAACATGTCGACAACTACTCGGCCTTCTTCGAAGCCTTGGTGCGCAGCTTCATCAGCAGGTACACCAATGCGTACGAGCTGATGGCAAAAATGACCACAATGGCCGCATCGCGCCAGCCGTAGTAGTACTCCATCAGGTTCAACGTCCGCAGGTAATCGCTGCCGTCTGAGTACTGGCAGATACGGCACGCAGACGTCGCTTCCGGGTTGACCAGATTGGCTGCGGAGCCCATACCCTGCAAATAGTCGGCAAGATAGTCGCCACAAGTCGTCCCATTGGGAGTGTCAAACAGCGCAAACTCGTGGTCTCTGCAGGTGACGTCCGTGCCCCAGACATCAAAGACCAGCATGCTGCCCATGAGGTAGTTGAAAGGGTTGAGCCAGTACATCCAGTACCTCCAGAACGCCTGGAGCTGTGAGTACGGCACGAGAACACCGCAGAAACTGATGAGTATACCCAGGATGAGGGGGTTGACAAGCGAGGCGAAAACGGCATTGGGCGCGTAGGCAGCAACGAACTGACCGATACCAGTGTAAACAAACTCGTACATCAGCATGACGAAGAATGTAGCGCCAGCACGGTTCGAGTCGCCAGGGAAGCCGACAGTGTAGTACCAGCAAACGAAATAGCTGACGGCACAGATGCAGAGGTACGGAATCTCGGAGACGATCAAGCCCGTAACGAATGCGATCCACGAGTACATCTTCGACTTTTTCTCGCGGGTTTCGAAAATATCTCGACGGTCGATAAAGAGAGGCTGCAACTGCGCCATGACGCCTGGCGCGACAAATATAAAGTTAAAGACAGTGAAGAGACGTCCTGTGAGGTCGTTTACTGAGCTGCCGATCATCCAGAAGGAGAAGCCGTTGAAGAGGGCTCCGCCGATGTGGAGTGCCAGTTTGTTGTTGATATAGTCAACGTTGCGGTACATGGCGACATTCATGCGGTGCGTGACAATCTTGGTTTGCTCCCACAGGGGTAGAGCAAACTCATGGACTTCCTCCGTTGTACCAGGCGGTTTGGCTGCTGCTTCGGCGTTCATACGATCGAGCTCGTCAACAACAGCCGTGTGTTCGGGTGATGAGAGCCAGACTTCGTTCCAATCGCGACCCTGGGAGAGATGTCCCGATACAACGTCGATCATGTGTTCGGCCGGGTTCACCTCCTTGGGGCACGGAGCACCGTGGCGACCAAAGTAGTCCTTGAGAGTGCTACCGTTGTCGCCAATGTCGCCGAAATAAACCGTCTTGCCACCCTTGGCCAAGAGGAGGAGTGTGTCAAACTCGGCAAATAGCTGAGCGGAAGGCTGGTGGATGGTAACGAGCACGGCTTGCCCAACATCGGCTAGCTTACGAAGGAAACGAACAGTGCTATAAGCGGATTGTCCGTCGAGACCGGATGTTGGCTCGTCGAGGAAGATGAGAATGCTAGGCTTGGAAACAAGTTCAACGCCGATAGTGACTCGTTTCCTTTGTTCGACAGAGAGACCAGAGCCGACGCGACCAATCAGAGTGTCAGCCAAGTCGTGAAGCTCAAGAAGATCGATGATAGTATCAACGTAGCGGAGCTTCTCTTCGCGAGGCACACTGCGATCCTGCCTAAGAAGAGCAGAGAATTCAAGAGCTTCGCGAACCGTGGCGAATGGCTCATGAACGTCGAGCTGCTCGCAGTATCCAGCAGAACGCTGGAAGGAAATGGGCAGAGGACGCCCGTCCACCAAGATGGACCCGTGAATCGTGCCGTCCGTCTTCCTCTGGGCTAGAACATCAAGCAGAGTAGTCTTACCAGCGCCCGAGCTTCCCATGAGTGCGCCGAGCATGCCTGGCTTGACCCAGCCCTGCACGTTATCCAGAAGCTGCCTGTCGCCGCTAGGGGTTTTTACTGTGTATGTGAGGTTCTTCCAGGTAAAGATGGATGTGTTGCGCATGAGATCGCCAGTTCCCTTGGTGGCCTTTTCTGTCTTGGCGTTCGGGGTGGAGCTGGTCTCCACGTCAGTGGTGTCGGCTAGGGCCTCAAGATTCTGAGCCTCCTCATCCTTCTTGAGGAGGTGGATCGATGTCTTGGCGTTCTCTCGGGGAATGACCAGAGACGGGCCAGCTTCAGCAGATGGCCGCCATCGCATGGTCGCAGCGATGGTGATGACGACGAAGAGCACCCAGAACGCCCAGACCACGCCGAAGTTTCTCCAGATGTGGCTATGGCTGTATGACAGGGCATCCAGATACTGCTCACCAGTAACGAATGTAGCGCCTTGCGTCGCTCCCAAAATACCAGCACACGACTGAAAGTTGCTGTCGGCGTAGCCCGGGCCATTGGGGATGAGGTTATGTCCGATACACGGAATGGTCTTGCCTTGGAATTCGTTGGCCATGAGAGCATCAAACCCATAGGCGAGGGGGTTAACCCAGAAGATCCAGATAAACCAGGGGTGCATCTGAGAATACTGGATCTGATAGCCGGCATAGAGGACTGTGGTCATGATCATAAACCCAGAAACCTTGGAAGCAGCGTCGAAGTTGGGAAAGGAGGCACCAATAGCGCGGAAGAATGCAGTCATACACTGGGGTTCTGTCAGCAATGCGGCCCGGCGTTCAACAGAATACATATCAACACTTACAAAGGTAATGGCGATCAGGATGACCCAGAATGTAAAGAAGGCCCCCGCAGAACTTGTCAGTCCAACCATGAAGTAGAGGACGATCGAGAAGACTGAAACTTGGAAGAAGATGACAGGTATATCGGCTGCAATTTGAGCGACGCAGAAAGCAGCGGGATGATACAGGGCGAACGATTTGTGTTTGATGAGGACGGGGCGACCAGCGAAAGAGCTCGTCACTTCGGCCATGGCGACTAGCGCATTGAATAGCAAGGCGAAGAAGACGGCACCTCCTTTCAAGAAAAGCCCGCCTGAGTTGTTTGGGGCCATGTAGAAGAGCGAACCAGCCAACAAGGCCTGGATGAGGGTGGAAACTTGGGTAATGATGAAAGTTGCCTTGTCGCCCCAAAGGATCTGGTACTGACGAATGACGGCGGCTTTCACCTGGGTTGCGAAGCTGACCGTTAAAGGACTGCCCTTGGGGAGCTGGGGGTGCTTCTCGCCGGCAACGCCTTCTTTGAACAGCCGGGTGTTCTCTCTGGCTTCCTCCGTATCCGGATAGTCATATTCTGCCACCATCCTTGGCTTGATCGCCGACTTGTCGTAAGCTTGCTGGACGGCGTCGGCGGTGCGGGGGAAGGTTCGCTCAAAACCTGGTCTGATCTGGCGTTCCTTGGGTACAGTAACTCCTGTGAGGAAATCACCAACGTTGGCACCGTCACGACAGATGAAGCCAAGATCTTTCATGAATGGTCGAGCTTCCTGTGTGGGCCCGTAGTAGATCTCCTTGCCCCCGTCGAGTACGAGGACCTTGTCAAAAAGATTGTAGATTCCGTTGCCGGCCTGATAAAGGGTCACAATCGATGCAAGGCCCATGACGTCCGTCAACGCTCTGATGGCCTTTGTATATTCGAGGGCTCTTAGACTTTGTTAGTCATTGGTACACTTAACGACAAGCAGCTTTGACCATGACTTACGTGCTGGCATCAAGACCACGTGTGCTATTGTCCCAGCAATAGACAGAGCCCCTGGTGGCGAGGCACTCAATGATGGAAACTCGCTTGCGCTCTCCACCCGAGACGCCACGGACGTATTCGTTGCCCACCTTGGTATCGAACGTGTGCTGGATGCCCATGGACTGAAGAAGGAAGTCGCGAGTCTCAATGCGAAGTTCTTCGTCTGAAGCCACACCCTCGGGCAGTTTAAACGGAATCTTCATGCGGCTGGCAAAGTCCATAGTCTGGCCGACGGTGAGGTCAGGGAAGAAGAGCTCTTCCTCGGTGTTCATGACAATCTGTCCCCTGTAGTGCTGGGCCTCGTCGGCAGTCATGGCGCCGTAGCGAACATCGCCGGTGACGGCGGCGTACCCACGTCGATGGTTGGCCAGGACGCTCAGGAGCGTGGTGCAGCCGGATCCTGGGCGGCCCAGGACGAGCAGCATCTCGCCAGGCTTCACACAGCCATGGCTCTCGGAGAGAATAGACTTCAGGGGTGGTTTGTGCCGAGACTCCTTGACAAGCTTCGGGATGTTGAACTGGCTGCCAAAGTTCTCGTGAATGGCGGCATCGGCGCTGACGGCTTGGACGGTGAGGTTGTTCCAGGTGACGCCGAGCTTACGAGGCGCGAAGCCGGATCGTTGGTCGCGCTCATGGATAGCCTCAACCTTGTGCTTGAGCCCCCAGGTCTGGTCGTTGTCCGGAACGGAACCGAGTTCGATGGAGGGCTCCAGTGTGGCTAGTGTTGCTTCAGACTCCATGGTTGGCTTGAAGAGGAGAACCAGGGTCGGACAGAGGTTTGCTGGCTCGAACTCAGTATTTCCCTCGACGGGGGCAAAAAGTGCGAGAACATGATATATACTGGAAGGCAAGCGGGCCTCGGGGTCCTCAAGGCACCGACCGAGCACCGATTCAAGTCGGGCAACATAGCGTCATGCCTTTGCGGTTTGACCGGAGGCACTATCAAGTGTTGCTGTCATGGTTGAGCCGTGGATCCGCCCTTCGAAGGGCCGGACCCCGGCGAGTTGACAGCATATGGCCCGCTGTTGAGGCTGCGTCTGGCATTTTGAGACCGCTTAGTCACAACAAAAGGCGTGGAGGGAGCGCCACGGCACACGTCAAGCACGAGTTTCGCAGCATCGCGTCGGGTCTTCGGCGCCCAGTGGATATTCACTGATGAACAAAGCAAGGTAAGCCTGCGCTGTCAGATGCAGGGACTCGTGTTTGGATGATGGTGTTTTGGGTTTGTACGTCAGGCTCGAGGCGGGACCGCGACGCTAGACCCTGTCAGATGGAAAGCTAATACCCCCTTCGTCCGTGGTGCAGCGCGCAAAGTGCGCTGAGTCAGCGGGGAAGCAGTGCTTGTCGTTGGCTCCTGCCCTTTCTCACCCGTTATCACCCTCTCTTACCCTCTCTTACCCTCTCTTGCCGGCTGTCTCAGCTCAGTGTGGAGTTGACGCAATCGAGCAGGAACGTGCGGCGGGTTCGGATTTAACCCACCCAAAAATGTTCCCCCGAACCCACTACAGCTGGGTATCTGCCGAGAAGGAATCGCCCACCCGCTGATTCAGCGGTCGTGCCTTTAAGCGCCGTGGCCCCCGCCCTTCCTAGGGTGCGGCTGCCCGGACGTCCCGTCAGCTCCTGCTTTCACGACTTCACCGGCCGTGGCTCCTTCTGGCTCTGGCTTGGGCTCAACGCAGCCGGCTTGACACATTCTACTCGTCCGCGGCGAAATACCTCAAACTAATTGCCGTGTCCACCTCGCACAGAGATATTCCATCCCACCTGTCTTTCTACCTTACTTTTTCCGCGAGAGCGGCCTTCTTGCATCGTCAACGACTCAACATGACCCGAAAGAAGAGGGCCTGCGATTCCTGCCATCGAAGGAAGGTCAGTCAATGCCTGCCTAGGTTTATCCAGTCACTCCATGCCCCACTCCACAGAAGGTTGCCATGGCCGATGGCTGCCTTGCATCCTGACCGTCTTGCGTCATGCCTCTTCGGTGCAGGGAACCGATCTGTCTAACTTGCAGGCAGATCCAGTGTGATGGTGTACTGCCTCAGTGCAATTTCTGCTTCCACAACGGTGTGACATGCACCTTCAGCCGCATCCTAGGAGCTAGGAAGCGAACCCCCAAACCAAGGTAGGTCCGGACCGGACTTTCAAGCACCCCGGCAGAGCTCATCGTCGACATGTGTCAACCGAGGAGGGCGGGTCTCTGCCAATCATTCCGGGACCAGCGTCCCTGGCCATGTGCTGGGCGCCCCCCCCCTTTTCCCTGGCGTGGATAGTAATCCACCTGCATCTCACATGTATCGGATCCCGAATCGCCTGGTCGAATCAGTGCCGCGACCCTCCTCGTTAATCTCTTGGCTGACGGCGCTGACCCATCTCACTTGTCAGTGGAAACTCAGACAAAGATCTAGCCAGACGCATCGAGCGCATCGAGCTTGCTCTCGATGCTGCTCAGAAGAACTTGGCAGCGAGAATACTCGAGTCAAGGGAGGCTGATGGTTCGGAGACCACCTCACCCAGCGCCTCGTCGTATCATCCGAACGGCCAGACAGGGGACTCGGCCACCGCGAGCAACAATGCTACCACCCCCGACGGTCATAAGAACACTGGCGAAGGCTTATCGCCTGCCACGACAGCAAGAAAAGCACGCTCTGCCGGCCGGCCAAAGAGCAGCAACTTTGGTACCCTTCACTTTGCTGGCTTTCACGTAGGAGAAATTAGCTCCTGCAATGGCATCCCCTTCTTTTCTCCCAACGGCCAAAACTGGATCCGATCTCGCACGGGTCAAGACCCTACCTTTGAGAAGCTGCTCGCTACTGGCCCCCCTTGGCACAGCACCAAGGAGAACCACGCTCCCTTGAGGCCCGACGATAATGTCTGTGCAACGACTTGGGAGTTGCCGGATAAGGCGCTCGTCGAGAGCTGCGTTCGTGCGTACTGCTCTTCCTCATTCGGCCATGCTTTCCCTATTGTTGAGCCTGAGGAATTCCAGACCACCCTCGACCTTGCATACGAAGACGAGGGCAGTCCTCTGACTATAGAAGCAACCAGCGCCAAGGCATGTCTGTTTGCTTTCATGACATATGTTCACCATAGCCGCATGGAGCATGTTGGCGAGATTGGTATTGACGGCCAGTTATACATGAGTAAAGCCTGGCAGCTCATTCCTCAGATCATGCACCAGGTGGATGTGCCGAGCTTTCAGACCCTGTTCATGCTTGTAGGTCTACTGCCTCGAACGTCTGGATGCTTTCTAACCCTGCTCAGTGCATGTCTAGCATGTTTATGGGCGACTTTCAACGAGGTTCCGTCGTCCATGCTCTCGCATGCCGTGTACTATTTATGCTCGGTGGTCATGCGCAGCCCAGCCAACGCTCAACAACCAACAATGCGGTCTATCGAGCGGAACGCAACAAATGGCTTGAAAGCCATCTCAGGCAGATGTTTTGGATGACGTACACCCTTGACAAAGAGGTTTCTGTTCGCACAGGACTGCCTCCGTCGATTGAGGATGATTACTGCGATCTCACCCTTCCACAGGCCCATCGAGATCCACAGCTCATGGTCAGAGAGGGTGCCGGATCCCTCAGTGACACGAACTCTACCCGGCGTGCCTGGCTGGGAACGTTCCCCACTACACTGCCGGGTGATCTAACTCTGACCATCATCAAGTCAAAAACCTACAGAGCATTATACTCAACGGCGGCCCTTCGAAAGTCAGATGCTGAGCTTCTCCGCGACATTCGCGAGCTTGACGAAGAGCTGGAGAGGTGGCGGTGTTCTGTTCCACAACCCTTCCGACCGGCTCTTGCCTTCTCCGAAGACGCAGCCTCCTCCATTGACAAGGATATGGACCGCCACATCATAATGAAGAAAAGCATCATCCACTTCGAGTATCATTACCTGTCAGCCGCCATTCATCGGGCAAGTGGGCGATGTTCTGTTTGGGCAGGAGGGGAGGGAGTCAGTTCGAGTGTCGCCATCACCGTGCAAGCCAGCCGCTCGACACTAATCTATCTCCGCGCTGCGGCTGATGGCATTACCGAGACTGCCTTTTGGTATGAGATGGCCCAAGGCCTAGTCCTTGACCGATCTTTGCACGTGCTGACATGTAGCAGGCTCGTCGTCTTCTATCCCATGTCGGCAACGCTAACACTGTTCTGTAACATACTACTCGATCCATGCGACGCCCAAGCCGAAGACGATTTAGATCTATTATGCACAATACCGAGCCTCATCATGAGCATCAAAAAGAGCCCTCTGACAGCTAAAGAACAAGCCTATTTCCAGGAGGTGAATGAATTCTTTGCGGAATTGACGCGCCTTGCGAGATGCGCCATTGACCGCATCAGCCCCATGCGGGACACAGAAGCTGCTATGGAGCTTGATTAGATGTATTTGTGGCAATTCAATGTGACGATACGCGCGTTGACGTTCCGACTAGAGACCTACGGTCTGGTTACACTGGCGTTCAGAGAGGGGTGGAAACCAGGATGTAGTTGTTATATCTGATAGATGGCCTTGACGAGAACTATGCTTTCGTGCCGAAACGCCTCCTTACGCTGAAATAGTTCTTGGAACGAAAATCCCCAACGGCGCTGTGTCTCATGGACCAACGACCAGGTCCATGTGTTCAGCCAGAAGGTATCTCACGGTGACCCGCACATAACGGGACCGTTCTGGTTGATCTGGAGGGATTTGCCCTGAATTGCCATGATGGACCAGTAAATAACTTTCTCACATTCATATTCCCCACACAACAAACACTACATAAGACCGCTACTAGCTACTAAGAGTCCCAGATGGGCCCGAACGCAGGCACTCCACGGCTCTCCATCTGGTACACAAACTTGCTCGTCGTTGGCCCGTTGGAGATGATGGCGACGCACTCGGCGCCGCTCTCCACGTAGAGCTGGTACGCAAGCTTGACGAGGTCCGGCCGTCCGCGCTCGTCCGTGTCCCAGATGAGCGCGTCGGGGTCGGCCGCGAGGATGGTATCCATGATGCCCTGGCCGTAGGTGCTGAGGGGGTTCTTGGTGCTCCAGAGGACACGGGCGGGGACGCGCCGCTCCATGAGCACGGGCAGGCAGGGGCCGATGCCGGAGCCGGTGCTGACGAGGACCATCTTCTTGAAAAGGGGCGCGACGGCGAGGACGCCCGAGGCCGGCGTGCCGCGGGTCCAGATGGACGTCGGCGGGTTCTCGATGATGCGCTTCGTCCAGTCGCCCGCCCTGGAGACGACGATGCTGAAGCCCTTGCCGCTGGGCTCCGGGATGGCGGCGAAGGCGTGCCACTCCACGAGCGGCTTGTCGGTGATGCGGACGCCCTTGGAGGTGCAGGGGGCCGGCGTGCTGAAGTCGAAATGCAGTCGGACGGCGTGCTTGGAGAGCGGCTCCGGGCGGACGGGGACGCGGCGCAGACGCATCCAGGGGAGCGCGATGCTGAGGGTGGCCAGCCCGACGAGGTACACCGACGGCGTGCGCGCGAGGGTGGCGCCGAGGGGCTGGGAAGGGGAGGCGATGGACTGGGCGGACAGCACGAGATGCGCCCATACGAGGCCGACGGAGGTCCATCCGGCAAAGCGATGGGTCCACTCGAACTGGTCATGCATCTTGGCGCGAATGGTCGGGTACGCCATGACGAGAATGGCGATGAGCAGGAAGAGGACGAGGTAGGTCAGCACGAGAGTCTGAATGTTCACGTTGTAGACGGGGGACTTGGAGATGAAGCTGCCGGTGGCGGCAAAGGCGTAGATGATCCACCAGACCGAGGCGGAGACGGCGCAGCCAGAGTGAACGCCGCCGCTGTGATAGACCCGGGCAAAGTGCCGCCGGACTCCCAGGGGGAAAGACGTTGGCACGCGAGAGCAAACCCGGAAGATGAAGTTGATGACGTAGTCCTGGCGCAGGAGAACGGCACCGAGGAGGTTGGCGCCGACTGCTGTTGCAATCTTGTCCAGAGGGAGCGCAAAGTTGTCGGTGCGGCTCTCAAACAGCATCCAGAGGATGACGGAGAAGTTGGCGATGAAGATGGCGCCGAACAGCTTGCGATACGCCGACAGACCACGGTGACGAAGCCATCGCCAGCCGTGGAAGCCCTTCTTCTGGGGGAGCTCGTAGTCTTTTGGCTCGGGCTCACCGTCGACAATCTCGACACCCTTTTCGAGGTTCAGTTGGCTTTCAGAGCCGACAAGAGTCGTGGGTGACCAGTGGCTTGAATCAGGCGATGGTAGGCTGCCAGCCGATGTAGCATGCGTCAGCGCCTGGGCAGGGATGCTCAGGGGAGCAGGGGCGAGACCATAGAGGCCAGCCGACGGAACATCGTAGGCCTTGGGAATGATGGCCACAGCCGAAGAAACTGGGGATAGTTCGGGAGAAGGCTCCGGTGTAGGAAGAGCATCTCCCATTGCGATGGACTTCAGGATGCGCTTGTCAACCTTGCCGTTGGGTGTCAAGGAAATGGCAGGCAGGAACTTCCAGATAGTTGGTACGGCGTAGAAGGGGAGACCACGGCCGACAGTCTCCTTGAGCTCTGCCTCCTCGATAGGTCGTGGCGCTGAGTAGAAGCCCCAGAGCTTCTCGCCAATCTTCAGAGCACAGCCCTTGATGACGGACGGACACTTTTCAATGGCTCTGGAGACTCCGTCAAGCTCAACCCGGAAGCCTGCGATCTTAACCTGGTCGTCCTTGCGGCCGAGAGGCTCGAGACTGCCATTTTCCAACCAGCGAGCGAGATCGCCAGTGTTGAACATCATACGACTAAGTGGAAATTAGCATTCATAACAGATATGTGACATGGTAAGGCATTCAACTCACCCGCTGTTGGTAAACTTGTCCAGCTTGTATCTCTCAGCAGTGAGTTCGGGAAGATTTAGATATCCCTTTGAAACACCAGGACCACTGGCCCACATGACACCAGGCTGTCCGATGGGCACGGGGTTCTCGTTCTCGTCCAGGATGTAGACATTTGTGTTGGGGTTTGGTCGGCCGATCGACAGAACAGCACCTGGCCTGTGACGATGAGCCGTGTTAAGGACGCTGATCTCAGTTGGTCCGCAAACGTTCCAGAACTTGACGTATGGCGCCCACTTCTCTGCCAGCGCGAGTGGGCATGGTTCGCCACCGACAGCGATGGTACGGATGTTGGGGAAGTCTTCACGATCCGACATGTGCTTGAGAACCACAGACGGAGTGGCGATGACTGTGTCGACGCGACGCAGACAGTCATGCCACAGATCGTCACCGCTGCCTCGAATATGGAGTGTGCCGCCGTTCATCATAGTCCCCAGAATCTCCCATGCACCTGAGGTTGTCAGCGGTCCTGATCACGGCAGTAGTGTAGTGGGATTGAGACATACACATATCGAAACCGACGTTGAGCTGTTGGGCGACTTGGGAGCCAACCTTGATGCCGAGCTTCGATGGTTCGGCAAGTAGACAGTTGGTTACGCCTCTATGTCGTACATCGACGCCTTTTGGCCGGCCAGTAGTGCCAGATGTGTAGATGACATAGACACCGTCGCTCGGCAGCACCTCGACGCTTGGGTTTGAGGTGCATCCAGTGCTCCAAAGAAGGCTCTTGGCGCCGAGAGCCAGGACCTTGACGTCTGCTGTCGTTTCCGCCGGAATGCATGCAGAAGCCTTGGCCTCAAACTTGGGGGTGCAGAGGACAATGCGCGCCCCAGAGTCGACAATGTCGTATGCTAGGGTGTCTTCGGGGATAATGGCACCATCAAGGGGCACATACTGACCGCCGGCCTTGAGCACGGCGAAGATGAAGACGACCATCTCAATGCACCGAGAGTACACGAGAACAACCCTCTCGCCCTTCTTCATGCCGTAGTTGTTGCGAAGCTCGTTAGCGAGCATATTCGCTCGTCGGTTGAGCTCCCTGTATGTGATCTCGGTACCATCGTAGTGGCGGACGGCTGTGACATCTGGGTTCTCGGCAACGATGGCCTCGAAGGCATGGTGTACAACACCATATGCGATGGATACCCTCTCACCCCGGCCAAAGGTGTTGAAGAGGACGCGATCTGCCAGGGGCAGATCCTCGAGGCTGTGGAACGAAGCATTGGAAGACATGATGGCTCCGAAAGCTACCGCCTGGGTGCTCAAGAAAACGAGGAAACAAGGCTAACGAGCAGAACAGAGATCGACTGTCGGCCCTACAACATTGGGGTCAGATATCCTGGGTCTGGACGGCTTATAAGCCTGTTCCGTGGCAGCCTCAAGCCACGGTTCCATGCCGGCATAAACCTGTCAACTACCTGACCAACCTGCTGCAAGCCCACATGTCGCAAACACACAAAGAGAAGCCTGTATCGGCCAGGTCTGGCCGACGACGGGGGAACTGATCATTGCGCGCCGGTTCCAGGGGCGGAGTCGGCAACACCGCTGGCTCCCATTGAAGCAGCCGTCCAGGCAGACGTGGAAGCAGGAAAGCACAGTACCTGGAAGCTCTGCCTTGGAACATGCCGTCGGCCGTCGAGCTATGAACGGCATGGATCAACGGTCGAGACGGTTCTCAACGGCGTCCAGAAGCCCCGTCTTGTTCTGGCGCGAAACACCTGCCTCTCCGCTTTAACGTTACCTGCCCAATGTGGGCACATAGTCTGCAGTGTAACTAGGGTTATCACCTCGCTGATCGAAACGTGGGTTACCAACCTGGGACAAAATGGGCGCGGAAGTGCGACGTCAAGACCCGCCAAAGGTGCAACGTTTTCAGTTCGAGCATTGCCGAAGACAGGTTTATTGCGCTCGTATTGGCGATCAACGTGATGGATCTCATCCATGTCAGGGCTCTACAGACAGGGGTTCCTGGCGATTCTTCAGCGGCGCATGTACAGTTAGGGCAGCCCGCCGATGCGGGGGGCTACATGACTCGAGCGCCGTTAAGGGCGATCAGGGTCTTAGCATGCACATGGTTGCTCACTGTTACCTCTGAAGAGTGGGGAGACTCGAGTGCTTGTACAGCACCATCATCTCAACTTGCATCGTCTGGTGGCGGATTTCCCCACGCCTCGAAACCTGACATGTACTGGCCTGTGTGCCTTGAGACGATGGTTTCAAAATGACTAAGAGCTTGTTAACTCTTTAGGCGTGTGCCCCGCCTCGTCTCGCCTTGCATTGCATTACATTGCATGTGCGTTGGTGCGGTGCTCTACCTATCTACATGTATCACTTTGCTGTCACCTTCCCACATATCAACAGCTCTTTTAAGCAGGGAACCTCCCCGGCCATCAAAAATACTGCCTGGTAACAAGTCAGTCATACCATTGTGTCCGGCACACTATCAAGTATCAACATCATGGACAGTCTCAAAAACATCAAGGTCACCTTCGACAGCCAAAAGGGCGTGGCGCTGGTGCGCTTCGACAGGCCTGCAAAGCGTAACGCCTTCTCCCAGGCCATGATTGAGGAAATGGTGTCGGTCCTTCACCATCTCGATGCTCTTGACACAGTCCGCGCGGTCGTCCTCACCGGAGGTCCTGATGGTCCTTTCTGTGGTGCGTCTCCTTTCTCTTCTTCCTGTTCCCTCTCTCGCCCCTTTCCCCCTCTACTCCTTCCCTCAGGAACGCAAAAAAAACAGCCATATTGCAGATGATCCGGAGTTGGCTCCGTTCCAAGTTCGTGGGCCAAGACTCTGAGACCCTGGGCATGTGGGTGACACGTTGGCGTCGCCATCTGCACGCGACAACTGTGCCGTGGCAGCACAGCTCCCCATCTCCACATCCACACATCATGAGGAACCCCACACACGTTTTCCAGGGGCTAACATGCAACCATACGGCAGCTGGCATGGATCTCAACGAGCTCGTGCAGATTACTACCTCATCGGCCCACAAGAGAGCTTTCCTCAAGGATCTCACTGACGCCTTTGCTGGGTTCTCAAAGCCCATCATTGCTGCCGTCATTGGATTCGCTGTAGGTCCAAACCCTTGCGTATCCGGCCGGCAGAGACCTTCCCTTTCTTTCGAGTGCAGACCGAGTTGTGTCACAGCACTGCAACGCGACCCAGCAAACGCGGCCTGCGACGTTGCGTTTCGACACAGCCTGGCTCGGTCCACGCCTGTTCGGATATGTGGCCCGATCATGGTTTTATCCGTCTCTTCCTTGTGCTGATGATTATTCTCTGCAGCTTGGCGGAGGTTGCGAGATCGCTCTCGCGGTATGTACCTGTACCCATGTCTCATCTTTGTTCTCTCCCTTGCACACTGAGCAAGCGCAAACCGAGCGCTGATCCCTCTCCGCGCCCGCCCTGCAGTGCGACATTATTTACGCTGCCGAAGACGCCACCTTTGGTCTTCCCGAAATTAAAATCGGTACAATCCCCGGAGCCGGCGGAACACAACGGCTGGCCCGTGCTCTGGGCAAACACAAGGTATGCTAACCCTACCTTACCCTGAGCCGAATCCGAGACGTGGTACTCCGTCCAGGCTTGTCGGAAATACGATACAAAGCCGTTGCTTCATGACCAATTGGCTGACTCACTCTCTCTCTCTCGCCATCGACGCCAGGCCATGGAGTTTGTCCTCACCGGCGACTCTGCCTCCGGGGCTGAGTTTGAGCGACTCGGTGTTGTCAACAAGGCTTTCCCCCGAGATCAGGTCATCTCAGCTGCGACCAACCTCGCAGAGCGCATCGCCTTGATGTCTGGGCCTGTCATTCAGGTCGCCAAGCAGGCCGTTCTGACTGGTAAGTGGCCCATTCGATCTAGCAAGCATGCATCTTGCCAGCTTGGTGATGATGACTGATTCGTGGTGGCTTTTTAGTGGAGAATAGTCATCTGGACGCGGGCATGGCGACGGAGAAGATGCTTTACTACTCCACGTTTGGTCTGTCGGACTTCAAAGAAGGCCAGACGGCCTTCTTGCAGAAGAGAAAGCCTAACTTTACGCATGAATAGTGAGGACGAGGATGACGAGTAGTGAACTGACTTGAGGTTAGCTGTAGTGGGGGCATAAGCCCGATGAATAGAATACTCCTCTGCACGTTCCCGTTCTTGGCGATTTTTCTTCAGCTACCAACCTTTCATGACAGGGTCAGCCCTGGGTGCTTCTTTCTGTGGCTTCCTGCGGGGGAGCCACGCTCAACTCAAAATCATGCATCAAAACACCGGCAGAGGCTTTGTTACGATCATTCGGACCGGCCGATTTTCTCATAATACTGCCGAGTTCGGCACCTCGGTAATCCGCAGAACGCGAACTTGTCGTTCTGCCTGAGCAGTGTACCGAGCATTCGACCGAGAAGCCTGCGATTCATTCTGCAAGTCTTCTCTCGGAATGCGGGGTGCTGGCAAAGGCGCTGGAGAGGGCGTTTCTTCTGATCGAGACCGACAAACCTGTGGATCTCTCTGCGAGTCGACGCAAGTCGAGGCCTCCCTGGCCCTGGCTGCCGTTCATGCGACCGAGGGCCTAGGCCCTCACTCATACGCATCTATGGCCTCTGTCAGCATCACTTCGGCGTCGCAAAAGTGTTGGTCATCATGGTGTTTAGGGTGTGTGGTAGAATGACGCGTGTGAGTGCTGCGATCATGTGCCTTTGGGTGTTACTTCTCAGTCTGCATTGAAAGCAACGCTTCAGGCAGGTCCCTCTGTTTCAAAAGAGGGAATGCGCCTTCGACTCTTACAGGTCAAGATTATCTTGCATGGCGATAACTGGGGCACTTCAACTCAGAGTGGACAGATGTGATAGACACCTTCCCTCGTTGTCAAATGGCCCACATAAGTCATGAGACTTTCCCTATCTGCACACCTACGCTGGGAGCATTCGCATTGCGTCTCTCAGATGTCGTTAGCACAAGGGCTACATGGTGCAACCAATGGCTAGCGGCTGGCCACAGCTCAAGGTACTCGGCTGAACATTCATTGGCAGTCTCTTGCACCCATGATGGGTCATGCGATGAACGAAACCACGAGAAAAAGAGGAAGCATACCGTTGAGCGGTTTTACAAAGACAAGTCAGATGCTTTGACCACGCCCTGGCTACAACAGAATCGCCAAAAAGCAAGCGAAAGTCTGCTGAAGCGCCCAAGGGTGAGGTTACACTTTGTACAACATAAACAGGTGAATTGATTTGAGAATCTCGAGCTTGTGGCGGACGGTGTGTCTCTCATAGCTGAAGGTGCAGCTGTCATGTCTTGTTACCTTGATAAACCGTTCGAGAACTGCAAGACCGCTCCTACTAGTCGTCGTGGTGTGATTGAGTGTAAGCACACAGTCTATGTCAACAGCCACACGGATAGAAGGAGTCTGTCGCTTCTTGCACTATCAATGGCCAGCGCACCTGGCGACGATATACTGAGGTTAAGATTGCCGTCATGATCTAACATGACCTTGAACGTATGTTGCACATCTTATTGTTCTGGATCGGTAAACTATCACATGGCAATGCCATCTACCTTTCAAAGAGAGAAATCTTAGCCATCAGTGTCATGGCCGAATCCAGGTACCTCGCATGTTAACTGAAAGAACTGGGCATTTGACTCGGGTTGAGTCGTTGTGTGATCTCAGGCCAAATACTGCTAGAGGCTAACTTAAAAAAAATCCTACGCGTCTGCTGCATTGTCGTGAGCTTGAGAATACTTTGATATCTTATGTTGAATAATCTTTTAGGTAAAAGTGCTACGCGTATGGAATTTGCATGTCGCATCTTCATGAATAGATCACTTGGCAATTATCAAAGATCAAGTTCGGTACAAGACACTATGCAACGATTTCATCACTAACTTGTCAGATTCTGAAGTGTTGTTGATCTTTCATTCTTGATGGAAGACTGAATGCAATCATGGTACAAGACTGCGGGCTTCGCTCGAGCACTTCTAGCGATGAGGCTTCTGGGTCATTGGCAAAGCATGTCTCGTAGCAGAAAGGTTGTTTTCTTCCATATCCCGAAAGACATTCTGTTCGAGGTGAATTTAATTTAGTCTATTGAGTCTAGAAACGAATATTGAGCTCTGCTGGCATTTCCAAATCGTGTGCTGCTTCGTGTCCCGGCTAGTACACTAGTGATCCAGACTCATTTCAACAGTGCTCGGAAAAACTCAGCCAATAGGACCTTCTTCGATGCACGTCTTTTAAGTTCCTTCGGAAACCACGCTTCCCTCGTCGTTCATTTCGATACTTTGAATTGGCCTTAGTTGCAAGTGAGGTCGCCAGTAGCCTCGTCAAAGGAACACCTGTCTGTGTAGGTGTATGAAAGCTAAGAGCTAATCAGCATCCACCCATGGTCGATTATACGGATGGGTCTACTTACGTTGATGAAACCGCCATCGCCGTGAGTGTAGAACTGGTTGGGTGCCGCAAGGTACATGCAGTCATAGCTAGGAGTCATGTCAGTTTGTGTATTCTAATGAGACTAAAAAAAGACACAACTCACTCAGTGTGGAGGATGCCGGAGCTGAACTCAACGCTGTTCAAGCCGTCGATGTTCTCGGGGTTGGCAACCGAGTAGCCCTTATTGTAGCACGCGGCAGCAACGAAACGAGACGGGTCGGGGTTTTTGTTCATCATAGCATCAGTTGTCTGCTGCGTGAAGGCCTCGCGTCCCTTGTCGAAGCTGATTACATCGCCGATAAAAGCAGCCGCTGCCGTGACAGCCTCTGTAACCACGGCAGTGATGGCAGCGGTGCCTACCGTTGTGAGGATAAGGACGGTGACAGGCTCGCGCTTGGTAATGCTTCGCTCAATGACAGCACGAGAGCCATCGGCTTGGCGGTCACTAAGGGTGGCGGTGGTAAGGTTGGGCGCCTGGTCCGGAGACGGCACAGCAGCGCCATTGACAACCGAGGAGCCAAGGAGAGCGATGATGTAGGCAGCGGAACGCATCTCGCTGTTGGACTATGTTGGCTGTTTGAGTGTTGAATGATTGAAGTAGGTCGTGAGCGAAATTCAAGAGCTTTGGCACAAGAGTGTAGTGTAGAAAGGAAGGACTGCTGTGAAAGAATGATGTGAGGTTGAGAGTACGTGTCAAGGAGACAAGAATGAGCGGCATCGTCTGTTGTTTAAATGCTTCGCAACTGCGAGGTCAGGCTTTGAGAGCGCTTCAAGCGATTCATGTTCTCTAGCCATGACAGGCCACAGCAATGACTTGGCGTGCATTCGTCGCGGGAGGATCCATTGTTGAATCCCTGTATGGAGGTTCATCGACTGTCAACCTACGGAATGGCCGTCGCCGATCAGGGCACCCGCCCGTAGGTGCCAAGAGCTGTGCGGCCCGAAGGTTTCTGTTTTCCTACTCTTGGAAGGACATTTGAAGTCAGCGGGCTGATCAAGTAGAGCTATAGCATGATGCATAAGATCTACAAGTTCCCCATAGCACATCCGGCCGTCTTGGCGACCACCACAGAACATGGGATCTCTGGAGATACAGGGTTCACACACAGATGCTGAACGGGCATAAAGATTGTGTTGGGGTAGTTGCATCCGTGCATTCTATCGAATATGGACACATTACAGCTTCGACAGGCCGCGAATGGGGCGGGCCGCTAACATGAGTGAGCTGTCTAGTTTCAGCCTCCATATAGTCATGCCAGAAACAGCAGCAGCAAGACGCACACTTCGATCGAGAGCTTTCCATATATTCACGAGCTTTCCTCATTTTTGCTCTGTATATCAGCTTTAGAGCTGAACTGCGACATCGAAACCGGTTCACGCCCTCAAGTGATGCGATCGCCGCAGTTCGTCTTGCATGCCCTCTTCGCCCCACATTGTGTGACGATCAGACGGAAAAGGAGAGCTGACTGACTCTTTCAGATGGCATAGCCAACATCAGCTGACGCCATCTAGGATCGGGTAAGCCCGAGCGACTTCCTACTTGAAACATGAGAATGCAGGGTCTCCAAACTCAAGACCGTCACGCTAACTGACTTCAGGCAAGCACTCAGCATTATAGGTAATGAGACCTTCATGCGCTCGGCAGAACGAATCGAATAATCTGTAAAATATGCCGATGAAAGCGCGACTATACCTCTTCGAGTGGAAGAATCGTCGAGCTAGCGTCTGAGTAGGATGTTGCCCAAAATACATGGCTTCTTCGGGCGCCCCGGACCTAAGTGGCTAGCGATCTATCTCTATCTAAAAGGCAGGGGTAACGCAAAGACCGCGTCGTGTTCTTCAGAGAAGAGCCGTAAAAGCCAAGACAACCTAACAAGGTTGTCTTTAGTCGTCGACAGCGTCGTCTGTTTTCTTGGCGCACTACCAACCATCCCGACGAGTTCACCATTCGTCAATATTGTTCACTGACTGCAGCGCACTACACCTGCACCAGGCATATAAGGATCATTGATAACCCTGCAAGTTCTTGAGGTGAGCGGCATGGGATGCTAGACAGAGATCGCGATAATAAGCCAGGACTTGTGATCATGAAGGAGATAGCTGAAGTACTCCGAATTACAGTTCTTCACATATCGTCGGATGTCACGGGGTCAGGTGTTCGGCCGAAACAGTTGCAATTGACTAAGATACCAAGAGAATGAAGGAGACAAAGCAAAAACAGCAGCAAACTCTCTCACCCCAGAGAAAGAGAAGAGAAGAAAAGAATGAAAGAAAAGTCAGTCACGAGGGCACAACCCCATTTTTGCCGCTCTGTCGAAACCATTGTGAGCGTAAGACTGTCAGCCAGCGCCTCACTCCTCCTCATCATCAGTGAGCTCAGGGATGACCTGGCCCTCGATATCGGGATCGACATCGTTGGCGTCAAAGTACTCAAACTCTTCCTCAGCCTCCTCGGTCTCGGCGCGCTTGACGATGCTCTCGTCCTCAACGGCCTCGAGGTCGCGGCGGCCAAACTTGCGGACGGCGACGTAGTAGATGTCGGCGTAGCGGCGGCACCTGACGCCCTGGAAGGCCAAGAGGCCCTTGAAGCCGGAGCAGTACTTGTACAGGTCCTTCTTGAACTGGTCGTCGATGCGCTTCTTCATGGCCTTGGTGTAGCGCCTCTGCGCCTTGGTGTTGCGGTAGCCAAAGTCGTGGCGTTGGCAGGCGGGCTTGAAGTTGAACATGGCTGGGCGGTCGGGGGCGCTGGTGCAGCCGTCGGAGTCCCACCGGCAGCGCTTGGGGTCCTTGGCCTTGCGGGCCTTGAGGAAGACGGGAATGGTGGTCTTGAAGATGAGTCTGTCGACAGCGGCGACAGAGCAGACGACAGCGCGGCTCTCAAGAGTCGAGAGGGTGATGGAGGCATCGGTCTCCATGGGCGAGGAGGTGGGCATGGCGGAGGAAAAGGCCGCGAGAAGGGCGACGGAGGCAGCAAAGACGTTCTTCATTTTGAAGGTGTTGAGAAAACGGAGAAGAAAGTTGAAAGTTGTATGGTGTTGGGTAAGATCTAGAGTGGCTTGGGATGTCTGAGTGGATGAGGGCTGATGAGATGATGTTCAAAGATGTGGATGAACATCTCTTCTTATAGACGCTTGCTTGCGAGCATTCGTCTTTCACAACCATGTAATCCTTCATCTTGACATCTCTGAGATCTGTGACTCTGCCTTGTCGTCAGCTTAGCATGGCAAGAGCGTTGAGATCAAAATGTCTCAGGCCTAATCTCGGGGTGGGCGAGTCAGCCTGGCATGGGCTGCTGCAGGCATGGAACAAATCACAGTTGACGGCTTTCAATATTGCCCTTGTCGAAACGTGGAATAGCTCAGAGCTGAAAGTTGAACGTCGTCAGATCAGTTCTAGTCTGCCCGTTCTCACGATGCACGTGCCCTGTGTTTGCGGTCAAGTTCGAAAGCGCTTGCATCGATGGTAAGGTAGACTTTGACTGACCAGGTGAATATCGTGAACCAGGCCTCTAAGGAAGGTCTAGACCAGACATATGGAGTATTCGTGCCCAGAACGGAATCTCCTCCGGTAAGGCGGTCACAAAAGCTTATTCCGATGTCCGTCTTACAATGATGTGGCTGCTTGGGGGCTGTTCAGCCCAAGCGTTCCCATGCTGCATTCCCGATCCTTGGACCCCAATTTCGACACGTATGTGAGCTTTAGACCAAATATTGACACGAACACAGTCGTTGTCTTCGTTCCTGAGAATTGAATACGCCATTCTATGTTGCCGCAGAAGTTCCCTGTCGCAACTCTCGCTTCTCTCCCTCTGACGTGGTACCTTTGCATGTGCGCCTCTTGGGAGGACTGTGGTTCCAGAAATGCTGTAAAGCCATCGAGGCGTCGCCGTGGCCAATGCACCAGGCACCATGCAAGGTCCCGCAGCCAGGCGACCGACTCCAACTGCGGGGTGTCCATCATGAGCCTGTTCCTGTCACGCACTCACATGGCGGGTAGATCTGGCTGAATCCGCCTCGTCCAGAGCCCGTCACTGAAGTTCGACAAGCCGCCAGATCGCGAGGCGAGGGCTTATGGTATTGGCCAGTAATGCGCCTCGCCCTACTGCACGGTTGTCCGCCTTACCCGCTTTGGGGGCTGAGATCGAGAAGCGTGCTGGGGAGAGGGAGTCGGGGTAAAGCGTAAGCCGGGCGTCTTCAGGTGTGAAGCAGGGGTAGACATCGCTTCTGCACAGCCGCCTCTTTGCGTCGTCCATTGGTCGAAGAGTCGAGAGAGAATTTGCTGCGTAGCATCTGTCTGCGAAGGGCGCATATTGGCTTGGTTCTATATTGCACGTGAAGAGCAAATTCAGGTGAGGCAGATAGTGTGATACACTGCCAGGGCCTTTCTGGCCTCAATATGAGCAAAGCCTGTAGCTTTTGCTGATGGGACTTCGGAAAAGGAACATATGGGTGTGATCAGCTATCGGGAAGCGGAAAAGGAGACAGTACAGAGCGGGTGCATCTGTCTGGGAGATGGGATCAAGGCTGGGTGTTGGGAGTTGGACGAGGGCTGATGTAGCGAATGACTGCTGGTTGTGAGTCTGGTCGGTACTCGGAACCAAACTTTGATTCAGACACAGGAGCAAATGTCCATCGCAACAGACATTGTATTTACGCAACAAAGGTGGATTTAATCAAGGACACATCTAGCCACATGTGCTTCAAGATCACGCATAAGTCGCGAAGCCTACCAGGTCAGGGGCAAACCGCCCCTGAGTCGGAGCCGTGAAGACGACCTCGTTCTCGTCTCCGGCCACGAACCCATCCAGCTCTATCAGCAGACGTCCCGTTTCGAACCAATCACCACCGGCAAGGGGGAACGCCCACCGCTTGCCATCTGCCTGGTTGACGCTGACGGTCAAGTTCCTTGAGTTGGACTCCCAGTCCCCAATAGTGTGGTGGTAGTCGTAATTGATAAAGTCAACCCCGATGCGCAGCGCACCGTCGCTCGGCGCGCTGACACCACGGAACGTAACGCTCGCGTCGCCACCAATGTTGCCCGCCTTCTTCTGCACCGGCGCGCACTCGTCGGGTTGGCAGTCGACGAGCCTCGCGCCGCCAGCGAGGGTGGCGTTAACGATGGAGTAGTAGTCCGCCTCCTTCGGAGCGGCGGTCTCCTCAATGTCGCTGAGGACAAGGAGACGGAGTTCGTGCGGCGCAAGCTTCACTTCTTGCGTGCCGGCGATGGCCCCGTCGGCGTGCGCCCAGATGTCGCGTGTCTTGGCTGAGGCGACGCCGATGAGGCTCAGGTCGACATTGACGGTCTGCGTCTCGTTCTTCCAGTTCGCAATACCTAAGGCCTTGCGTCCGCCTGAAAGCTCGCCTGCCCAAATGTCCCACTCTTCCTCCGTGTAGCGGATAACGAGCTCCGCCGCCTTGGCGAGAGGGTCCTGGTTTATAGCGATGGCCTCCTCGTTGGACATGATCTTGAGGGACTCGGCAGGGATCTCGGCGCGGTCCATCACGCCACCGATGAAGAGGGGCGACTTCATCAGGGACCAGAAGCCAAAGTGGAAGCGCTCTTCCTCATACGACAACGCACCGAGGCCGATGCTGCTTCTCGTTAGCATAGTTCAACTTTGGATGCAAATAAAAAAATGCCCGTTGCTTCACTCACATGAGCATGTCCATGTCAGCAAACGCACCGGGTCCCGTGTGCTTGGCATGCGGCACGACCTGGTTGGTGATGCGCCAGATAGCCCTCCAGGCGTTGAAGATGTCATTGCTCATCCGCCACGTGTTTCCAAGTGGTGCGGCCCTGGGAATCTGTGAGCACAAGAATCTACACCCGCGGTCGAGGGCTTCTCACCAGTCGGGCACATTTTCGCCGATTCCCCACTGGCAAAGGAAGTATTTGATATCGCGGCCGGCCTTGTGGAGCGCATCGGCCATCTTGACGAAGCGGTCCGGACTCTGCGCCTCGGCCGACTGCCAGTCGACCATCTCGGTGCGCGAGGTTGCGTAGCAGTTGTCATACCTGAGGTGACCACAATTAGCAATGCTTTACATTTTGTTTGATCTCGTTCTGCTGAGAAGCTTGTGCGTACTTGAGCGAGTCACCACCCCATTCGGCAAACGACTGCGCGTCAATATCCTCGTAGCCTGCAAAGAGTCAGTCCTCTTCTCGCTCACCCATCCAGTTGCGAACACATAAGGGGGAGTGCTCAAGCCTCACCCAGAGACGCAGGAATATCAGATGATCCGCACTGCAGGTACCCCGCCCCGGAGTAGAGACCAAACTGCAGCCCAAGGCCGTGAATAAAGTCGCCGAGCTCGACCGGCCCGGACGGGAACAGCGTCTCGTTCCACTGCAGCCTGCCCTGGGCGTCGCGGTCGCGGGACGGCCACCCGCAGTCGACGGTGACAATGTCGTAGCCGAGGCCCGCGAAGCCGAGGTCCACGAGACCCTGCGCGTTCTGGCGGATGATGGCCTCGTTGGGGAAGCAGTTGTAGCGGTTGTAGCTGTTCCAGCCCATGGGCGGCGTGGGTGACTTAACGGTCTGGGCCTCGCCGAGGCCGAGGGTGAGGGCCCATGCCGCCGCCGCGAGGCCCCTGGACGCTGTGTTGGAAGGCATTTGCGTGTGTGATGCTGCTGCTGCTGCTGCTCTCGGTCTGAAAGGCGAGCCTGTAATCCATGGTCGTGGTCGTGACTACTGCGATGTTCAACGTCGTCTTTATAGAACTGAGTGGCTTCCGGATCCGGGCCGAGAGTCGCGATCGAGCAGACCTGTCGGTGCAGATGTGCCACGGCAATGCCTCTGGGGTCGGCGGTCTCCCGAGCCCCAGGTGGAAGGAGATTGGTGCGCATGAGGACAGCGGCGATGATCACTGCCCGTTCTTCGCAAGCTGTCCGTGATCGTCTGGGGTTGTACCTTGCCAGGAAGTGGGATAATGCGGGGATCGCGATGCGACCTCATGACGCGGGGAAGTTTCCCCCTCGGTCTCTCTCTCGCGTCCCACACCTACAACAAGACGCGATCGTACCAATCTGGCGCTTTGCTGTGGGACTAGGTGCGCAATTCGTATTTTTATCTGCCGGCACTACGAGATGACGTACAAACAAGCGGCTGGCAGAGGGGCGAGAGTGCAACGGCGGATCTTGGCGCTACATTGAAGTCTGGAGGACGCGGCGCTGTTGCGTTGCGACCTGTATTCCAAGATGCGGCCCAATGGCGACAGTTGGTTTTCAGTCAAATTCTTTCTTACAGCGAAAAACGCTCGATTAGTTAGTCGAATAAGCATTTGGGAGATCTTGTACGATGGTCCCATACTTTTTAGCTTTCAACCAAGCATTCCGATCTGACATCTCGCAGTCCTGGAATGTTCACGATACGCGGTTCCAGGCGACATGGTGCTTACTCGCAGGGGAGGAATGTGCGGCCCCGATCTGGCCTTCGCTCCAGTGAGACATGTTTGTCTTGATGTCCAAAGGGTCTGTGCAAAGGGTCTCTGTCCAAAGGGTCTCTGTCCAAAGGGTCGGCATCAACACAGCGTTTCGAACATGCACGTCGTTGCTCACAGGCACGGTTTGCTCACAGGCACGGGTTGCTCACAGGCACGGCGAAGTGGAGGGTACAGTATGTATTACCAGCTCGAAAGCCTGTCTAATTTGGCCTTTATGCTTGAGGCCATGCTGCTGTCCCAGACATGCCATATCTATCATGAGGCTCAAGTAAATGACGAGAAACGAAAAGAACGCTGTGACGTCAAGCTGCCTAGAGAAGGGCGGCGAGGAGGACACCGGCGGCAACACCGGCCATACCGGAGCCAATACGGCCGGCGGCAGCGGTAGGGACGCTGATAGGAGCGGTGCCGGTAAGGGTGGGAGGGAAGAAGGAGCCGGTGCCGACGACCGTGGTCTTGGAAGACGGCTTGGGAGGCTGCTGGCCGCCGGGCTGGCCACCGGGATGGCCAGCGTTCTGCTGCGTGACCATGGTCTTAGGGGGTTCTCCTTCGCCGACGGGGCACACGGTGGTCGAGAGGGGAATGGTCTCGGTGGTGACGTGGGTACCGCCGGGGCAGGTGTGGACGTTGGGAGGGCACGAGGTGATGGTGCGAACGTTGGTCGTGTACACGGTCGAGGTCGTCCACGCAGTGGGGTGAGGGGTAGGGGTGGGCTTGACATCGTCATCAGTGACGGGGCACACGGTGGTCGAGATGGCGACCGTCTCGGTGATGACATGGTGACCGCCGACGGGGCAGTTGGTGACCTCGGGAGGGCACGAGGTGACGGTGCGAACGTTGGTCTGGTAGACAGTCGAGGTCGTCCACTGAGTGGGGGTAGGGGTAGGGGTGGGGGTAGGCTTGGTCTTGTCGGCCTCGGACACGGGGCAGACGGTCGTTGAGATGGCGATGGTCTCAGTTACAACGTAGTGGCCACCGGCAGGGCAGTTGGTGACCTCGGGCTTGCACGAGGTAATGGTGCGGACGTTGGTGGCGTAGATGGTCTGGGTCGTCATCTCGATAGAGCTCGAGACGGGTCCCAGGGAGCCGATCATGGTGGTGTTGGAGTGCTGGTCACCGTACCTGTGAGCAGAGGCGGCAGCGACCTGGAGGGCGATAGCGCCGAGTCCCATGTAGAAACCACGCATCTTGACTGGTGGGGAGGCTGGTTGTGTATGGTGGTTGGAACGAGCGTCGGTGACTAAAAGTCGAGATGAGAGACGGTAGTGGTCTGAAAGAGTGACTGGTGCTATGAAGAGGCAGAAGGAAATGCCCAAAAGTGTTCGGCAGCGCGCCCCTTTTGAATGCCGCAACCCGTCCTACTGTCATGGTGACCGTGATATTCCATGGTGAGCTTAAAGCATGAACTGTGGACGTGGACAGCGGGCCAAGGCCAGGGTGGATGGGGGGATACGAGAGAGGGCAGGCCTCTGTGCCGGGAGCCGAGATGCTGCGTCTGATGGTTGATGGCCAATGACTGATGTGCTCTGAGGTCGAAACAAGGATGTTGCCACTTCTTTGTTGCTTATTGTCGGGGGAAAAACGGATGGAAGAGATGACTTGTTGTCGGGCTCAAGGTTCTGATGGTTGTTTGTTGTGAGGTGTAAGAAGAAGTGCAGAGGGCGCAGGGGGGGTTTGACAGACAAGAGGGTCACCGGGCAGTCGGGGGGGAGGTGGGGGCGATGTTACCCAGGTGAAGAGAAATCCAGGGGAAGGTTCGACTGTGCTGGTCGTACCTGGCGAATCGGAGGGTACGTCGGGTCTGAAGCAGGGAGTGTCGGCCTTTGTCGAGGCGCTCTTGCTGCCTGCGCTTGCGCCTGCGCCTCGGAAGACGAAGCAGTGGAAAGCACCTTAGAGGGACCTACTATGTACAGTACAAGTAGCAGGACCATCTGGCGGCGGCTTCTTCCATATGCAGGGCCCGCCTGCCCCCTCTTGCCCCTCTTGCCCCTGCAGAATGCTGCCCCACGGGGCACTGCTGCCTCACAGGGCAGTCCACACCAGGCACCCGCTATTTTTTGACTTTGCCCGAAGTCACCTCGCCTGTCGACCTTTTCTTCGTCTCCCTTGCACACGAGTATCACTTGTACTCCCTTTTCATCCCTTTCTCATCTCGACCCCTCGAACCCTCATCATGATACCGTTTCATCAATTTTCTGGCTCAAAGTCACCCTTATCTCATTTCGTTTCTTCAAAGTTCAATCCCACCTCCTCCTCAGCCCATCCAAACGCCGCCTTTTGACCCTGCTTGAGCGTCCTCGCATCAGTTTTCGCTGCTATTTTTCGCTACCGATACCGACACAATAGTGCCAGGCCGCCCCGTATCACTACAACTCGCACCTCCACCGACTGACAGCTCGCGGGCCGACTGACAACCCTCCGGACTCGGTAAACGGCGTCTGGCGCATAATCTTTATGGGCCCCCTCTTGCTGTGAATGGCTGAACTCTGTCTTTCTAGCGGCGCAGTCGAGTCTGTGCCGACATGAGCCTCATTTGCCATGAGAACCTTCGGTGATGCCATGACGTCGATCACACGCATCCTAGAAAGGGGTCGTCGGCATCGCGGCATTGAAAAAAAATCCTCAGACTAGCGCAGAGGGTGGGTAGTTGAGCAGGTCGCTTGTTGACCTGCTCAGCACAACAAGCGACCTGCTCAGCACACATTTGGTCCTTCAAGCTCGTCGCAGGCTCCATGGTACGCGCGACGTTGATGCAAGAGCTCGGGTTTGACGCTGCCCCCCAGTTCTCGCAGCCTGCCTCCGCTACCCTTGCCGCGTCATCTGATTCCTTCACTGTCGCTGCCCAGGTGATCAACAAGTGAAGACGGCTGGGCCAGAAACCGTGTATTCGCCCGCTGCACAAATCATGTCAGACCACAGCTAGCCAGGGGGGATAATGGCAGCGTACACTCACGCAAATAGGCATTAAAAGTTACTCCTGGGTCATCAGACGCATAACCACCGGGGAAGCTGACAAGATCCGTCGGGACAGCGGTGCCCAAGCCAGTGATCTTGAGCTGGTGGCAGTTCGGGTAGAACTGGACGCCTGGGTACGCAAACGCCGCATGCAGCGCAATCCTCTCATGGCGAACAAGGTAGTATCCAGGCTGTAGGCAGGCTGGGATCGTGTACTCGTATTCATAACCCTCAGTCATGAGCGGCGTCGACCCCCACTTGTTTGACGTGCTGCTCTGGCGGCCCTCTTCCTGGATCTTGAAAAAGACGGCCCTAGCCTTCTTGTCAGACAAATTTTGCTTCGTCAGAGAAGCTCGACACCGTAAGAAGTCACTCTTCTGCCGTCTCCCCGCCCCGACAGCCTATACCAGGGCAACGCGCCAAGTAGGTGATCATGGGTCCCACGTGTGAGTCTGGCCATATCGTCCACCGCAGCTTGACCGTTGATCCGGCCTCTGCTGCGGCATGCAGCTTGGCCGGTGCCGATCCGACTACCCCGCCTGCCGACCAGCCTCCGCATTGCAGATCGGTCGAGTTGACATCCTCGATAGGACCATCGCCGGCAACCGGTCGTGACACGCAGTCGGGCTGCCACAAAAGAGTGGGCTCATATCAACACAATAGCACGGCAGTTCTCTACGTACCGCAGGGTTCATGTAGGGGTCTTGGTACAGCTTTTCCAGTACTTGTCAGCTCGAGTTCGGAGACGTACCTGGAACGTGACTCACCTGATAGAACTATTCGACGAGGAGTCAGCATTCAGGCTCAGAGGGCGTCACAGGTAATAGTACCTCGTAGGCCACGCCTCCGATACTGGCGGTATCAACATAGCCGTGGCCGCAGCCAAGGTCGCGAGTCCGGGGACTTCGAGTGCTTTTGTGAGCTTCAGCATCTCTGACTTCTTTCGAAGCTTGGCATATCCATAGAAATCTCGCCTCAAAGCCATGGTCTGCTATAATGGTCGAAAAAAAGTGGTCAGCGCCCTCGGCGTCTTTATACCACCCGAGCCGGTACCCAGCATCCCGTACTCTGCGAGCCGCGAACCCGTCGGCTCAGACAAGCAGCCGCGCCGCGCCGCGCCGCCAAGCCGCCTCGTCGCATCCAACGGCCCCACCTCCGCGTTTCGCTACCAAAAGGAGCCGTCCGGAGTCTCCGCTGCGCGGCAGGCCCCCCGGCTGTCGTCATGGAAAGCACGCGGCGCACCGAAAGGAGCCGTATGCAATACCCATCAGTGGGGTTCGCCATCCGATGACCCAGCCCCGATGTGGGATTGATCGGCGGCATGGTCGGCAGGGTGCCAATGGCGGCGCGGGTATGCTGCCGGCTCGCCGAGACGGGCAACCGAGATTACGAGACGTGAGGGTCCGATGCGGCAGCCGATGAGGGGCGCGGGGCTGCAACTACTGAAAAACTGAGGCTTCTACAGGAATTTCGGGTGCGTTTTTGTGAATCCTGGCTTGGAAGGGTACATTTCCCAGGAGAGTGTTCGAGCCGTGATTGGAAGGACAGAGCTTCAGGCAATCAAGTTGCCTGGCCGTC